TTCGGACGAGGGTCTCGTCAGCGAGCGGAGGATGCAGCCGCCGTCTGCCCGCAGCTCACTGGCGGAGGGCGCCGCCTGTAAGAAGCACATGGGGGAAGGCCTGCCCCCTGGCACGGTCTGATTACAGGGGACCCCAACAAAACTATGTTGCTCCCATCGCACTTAAGGGCCACATCTCAGAAATAATTTCGAGCACCCAGAAAAGTGTCGAAACAGTGTCGAACGAGTGTCGCCGCCCAGGGCCCGACACGTGAAAACCTTGAAATTTCGGTACTTTCCTGGTGCTCGAAATTCTTTCTGGCTGTCAAAACTAAAATAGGTTGGAACATCATAAACCTACAAAAAAACTCGCGTGTTGCGGTGATCAGGGTGTGGCACACCTCGCCTGCGCTCCCGAAGCTCACAGGAGACTCCAGCTTCAATTCCGTTTTGGCACGCGCGCACCGGAGCCCTGTGAAAAGAAGGCGCCGACGTGGGGCATCCCCCTCAGCGGCCCCGTGCCGGGGCAATGGAGCTGGTTGCCAGGAGCTCTCGCAGGGCACGAAGTGAGAGAGGAAGGGGGTGAAGCACTGGGGTCCTAGCGGTGAGTTGAGAATCGCGCCTGTCAAATTGGCGGCGAACTCGGGGGGAAAATGAGAAGGAGAAGGCCCTCTCGGAAGGCGGCGGGACCTCTCAGAAGCCGTCGCGCCTCCCGAGAGGTCTTCTCTGTCTTCGGGGAAGGCTTCGAAAACGTCTCGGACGGCCGAGGGACTTCCGAGCCTCCTGAGATGGCCCGCCCCTTCTCGCTTCCCCCCCGGGCGCGCAGCCGAGCACTCCCGGCCCTCGGGCTCCTCCTCCTCCTCCGCCTCCTCCTCCCCCTCCTCCTCCTCCTCCACCGCCTCCTCCTCCTCCTCCTCCTCCTCCTCCGCCTCCTCCTCCTCCTCCTCCTCCTCCTCCTCCTCCTCCTCGCTTCCCTCCCGGGCGCGCCGCCGAGAAAGGCCTGGGGAGCCCAGCCACCAGCCCGCGCCCAAGGCGGCCACGGGCGGCGGCGGGGCGGAGACCCGGGGATGGCCCCGGGCAGCACCCCGAGGGCGGCCCCGAGGCGGCCACGGGGGCCACCGCGCAGAGGAGCCGAGAGGAGCCAACCCAAATGTGATCGTCTTTTGTTATTCGGCGTTTCGACATTGGGCGGAAGGGGGAGGGGGATCATCCTCGTCATCATCAGCATCAGTAGCATCATCAGCAGCATCAGCATCATCATCATCATCATCATCAGCATCATCATCATCATCATCATCATCATCATCATCATCATCATCAGCATCATCATCATGATCATCATCACCATCACCATCACCATCACCATCATCATCATCATCTGCATCAGCATCAGCATCAGCATCATCATCGTCATCATCATCATCATCATCACCATCATCATCATCATCAGCATCATCATCATCATCACCATCATCACCATCATCATCATCATCATCCGCATGATGTGAGCTTTTCTTATTCGGCGTTTCGACATTTGGCGGAAAGGGGGGGAGGGGGGGGGTCTGGCTCCAGACCTCTGCTCATTGTGACTGTCTGCAAGCGTGCTGCCTCTGGGACAGACTCCACCCGCTCGAAACAGGCGCCCGAAAACGCCAAGGACTAGGGGAAGAGGGGTGCGAGGGCCCGCGCCGATCGGCAAAACAATGCATAAAGAAGCGAGAGCCGCTCTTTGCGAGCCCTGCTTGGTGAAGACCAGATAAACAAAACAGGCAAACAGACAAAACAGACGTCAGGGGCAACGATAGGGAGGGATAGGCACAGGGGGGGATGCATCGACCTGGAATCGGTGATACATCGTCGACAGATCGGCGCTGGGCCTCCGATAGTGAGCCCGCACCTTCCTGGGCAGGTTGGGGCTATCGGGCCCCTATCGGCGATCAGTGGGCGATCGGGGGTCGATGCATCCGGTCGATGCATCCCCCCCCTGTGCCCATCCCCCCCCCCATCGCTGCCCCTGAAGACGTCCCGTTTTCTCGCGCAAGCCGCCAGGCGCCCCGCCCATGGCGTAGAGACGTCCCGTCAGCCTCCTCTGCTCCTCCTGCCTCCCCACGCTCTCAGTCCTCTCCTGCCTCCCCTCGCTCGGTTCCTTCTCTCCTGCCCTTTCCTGCCTCTGTTCCTTCTCTCCTGCATCCCCTCGCACTCTCCCCTCGCACTCTGTCGCCCCTCCCTCCCCCCCTCCCTCCCTCTCATCCTCGCCACAACCACCATAATCAACATCAGCAGCAGCATCATCAGCATCCTCATCCTCATCAGCATCAGCATCATCATCGTCATCATCCTCATCCTCATCCTCATCCTCATCATCATCATCATCATCATCATCATCATCATCATCATCAACATCATCATCATCATCATCATCACCACCACCACCACCACCACCACCACCATCATCATCATCATCATCATCATCATCATCATCATCATCATCATCATCATCATCGTCATCATCATCATCATCATCATCATCATCATGATCATCAGCATCAGCAGCATCACCATCATCATCATCGTCATCGTCATCATCATCGTCATCATCATCATCATCATCATCATCATCATCATCATCATCATCATCGTCATCATCATCATCATCATCATCATCAGTATCGTCATCATCATCATCATCACCAGCATCATCATCATCATCATCATCATCATCATCATCTCATCATCATCATCATCGTCATCATCAGCAGCCGCAGCATCATCAGCATCCTCATCCTCATCCTCATCCTCATCCTCATCACCATCATCATCATCATCAGCATCATCATCATCATCATCATCATTATCATTATCAGAATCACCATCATCATCAGCAGCAGCAGCATTAGCACCATCATAATCAGCATCATCAGCAGTATTATTATCACCAGCAGCATCATCAGCATCATCATGATCAGCATCATCATCAGCAGCAGCATTATCATCACCATGATTATCATAGTAAGAATCACCATCAACGCCATCATCATCGTCGTCATCCTAAGCATCATCAACAGCATCATCATCACCAGCATCATAATCATCAGCATCATCAGCAGCAGCGTCAGCAGCATCAGCATCATCATAATCATCAGCAGCAGCATCATCATGCTCAGCATCATCACCACCATCATCGTCATCATCATCACCATCATCATTCCGATATCCTCGTCCTCCCCCTTCCATAACTCATGTCTCCCCCTCGTGAGAGAAAGCCGAAATCAGATCCTGATTCAAGATGCCAATGATCTCCCCCGACGACTCGCTGTAGCCCTGGCTGAACGGATTGCCCTGTGCGCGACGGTGCGATATCGCGGCATGACTTTCGCGCGCACACAGGTGGCGCCGAGCGAGATGGGGGAGCGCAGTGATAGAGGAGGGAACAGACAGATGAGCGGGGACGAGGACTGGAAAGACAGGGCATAATACATGACACAGTGGGAAGGGAAAAAACATATGAACAGTCATCATACATGACACACGCGCACGACGAGGAACGTAAAAAAGGGCCCGAGCAGCTCGACATGGACCGCGACGAAGAGGGCGACCGCGGCAAGAAGTGAAGCGTTGCGGCAGCAGACGGGGAATCGCGGAGAGGACAGGGAAGGGGGAGACAGAAGCCGACCCCGGCGTGGCCTGGGCAGGAGGGCGGCCCAGGTCCGTCGACGTGGGGTCGCTGCGCAGGGGCAGGAGCAGGGGAGGGGGACGACAAGGAAAAGGCGACCGACGAGGAAAAGGAAGAGGGAGGGAGGGCGACGACGGTCAGGACGAGGAGGAGGAGAGTAGAGTGCGGATCAGCGAGCGTCGAGGGAGAGCGGCGCCACAAATTCCGATGCGGTCGCAGCAGATCACCTCGATGCGAATCGCCATCTTGGCGGGCACGGCGGGGGCGATCATCGTGGCGAGCCTGGGGGCCATGGCCATGACCTTGGCAGACGGCGCGCCGCACGGCTTGGACGGCCGCCGCCGACCCCTTCGCCCCGCACGTCAAGCAAGCGACCACGGGCATCCCGCGGATGAAGTCCGCATCCTTCTGCGGCCAGGCCTTCACCAAGTAGTGTGTCCGAGCACCCGCCGCCCTCAGCATGTCGTCGACCTCGATCGTCGCGGCAACGATCGACCCTGGACACTCGCTGTTTCGCTGTGCCCATCTGCATCGTAAGCACCATCGCTTGCCCACAGGGCTTCGCAGCATGCACTCCAGCTTGGCCGCCACCTGCAGCAGGGCCGCCTTGGGCACAGGCGTGTTGGGCTTGGCGACTCTGTGCGTGGTGCTACTCCCGCCCAGCGCGCCGCCCACCGCCGAGATCCACATCGCCACGCATTCGGCCATCTTGTTGGCAACCTCAAGCCTCCGTCTCGCAGCATACGGCAGACGACCGCATGTAAGCACGCAGCACTCTTCGCAGCCTCTTCGGCGGACTTGTTGCCGTACCAATCCCTGCCGTCGATCACAGACCGCCAAGCCTGGTGAGCAGGTACCTTCCGCACCGTGAGTCCAGCATCGCAAGAGCCGCCGAACTCATCCAGGATCCTTCACACTTCGCGCCAAAGGTGTGACCAGGAGTCGCCGAGACTCCTAGTCTTGGCGCGACCATGCTCCGCGAGGCCCAGGAACACGCAGCTGCTGTCCACCACCGCAGTGGCACGCGGCGTCGCGAACCGCAGCACAGCCAGCAGCGCCAAGAGCTTCCCGCCGCCGATGTCCACGAAAGACTCGCACATCACGCCCGGGATGCCTAATCATGAACTTCTCGGCGTTGGCCAAAAGGGCAATGATCGTCCAGCCGACGCTCGCGTACCTGCCGAAGTCGCCCTCGCACACTGAGCCGCCCAAGAACTATGAGCATCGTGTATCCGATCCCGATCCCCAGCGGCGTGGCCTGGGCCCCACAGGCCGATTTACCCCCGTAGATGGGGATATAGGCCGTTCCCTTCGGGTCTTGATAGGTATATCCCTAACTGAGGGGGGTAAGTTGGTGGGAGTCTCGAAGAGGGATGGGGGTGGGGATGGGGGTCGGTTAAACGATACTGAAACAACTCACCGAGCGGCAATTGGCCGTCATGCCGGCCCATCCAGCAAACCGTTGGCGTCCGAGCCAGCGGTACCAGGCCCGCTGGCGCCTGGCGCACAGCACCCTCTCGAGCAGCACCTTACACCTCTGGCAGGTCGGCCCTCGTCAGCAGGTTGCGCCGCCTGCTGGGTACGCAGCGGGAGCTCGCTGCGCCTGCGGAGGCGCGTGCCCACCTCGCCGCAGAGGGGGCACGCGTCGCCGAGGGCCATGACGCACCCGACGACGACGGATGCCAAGTAGCCCGTCGCTTTCGGCGAGAGCCGCACCACTGAGCCACGGAGCAGGGCTCAGCAACGAACGAGTCCCACCAGCCCTTTGGGCGTGAGTGGTTTAGCGAGCTCTCTCTGTTCTCAACCCCCCTTCTTCCCCTTCGGGGAGGGGTTTACCCCTCCCCCTACCCCCTCCCCCTGGACCTGGAGAGGGGGTTTCGCGGGTGGTCAGAGGGTCCTTTTTCTATCCCTGGGAGGGCTAAAATTCGACACCCCTCACGAGGATCGTGGCCCCGACGGGGGTACTGACAAAAATGCTCGCCCCATCTGTGATCGATCGCCCCAAAGATGGCCCCAACAGGCCCCCAAGACGCTCCAAGAGGCGCCCAAGAGGGCCCCCGGACGCTCCCAAGAGGCTCAAAAGAGAGCCCAAGAGGCCCCTCTACGATCTCCAAGAGGCCTCCAAACTGCCTTGGATACGACTACTTCTGCTACTACTACTTACTACTACTATCCCGAACGACTCACACCAGGACGAGGGGCCCGAACGACTCACACCACGAAGAGCCCGAACGACTCACACCAGGAGGAGGGGCCCGAACGACTCACACCAGGACGAGGCGCCCGAACGACTCACACCACGAGGAGCCCGAACGACTCACACCAGACGAGGGCCCCGAACGACTCACACCACGAGGAGCCCGAACGACTCACACCAGGAGGAGGGGCCCGAACGACTCACACCAGGACGAGGGGCCCGAACAACTCACACCACGAGAAGCCCGAACGACTCACACCAGGACGAAGAGCCCGAACGACTCAAACCACGAAGAGCCCGAACGACTCACACCAGGAAGAAGGGCCCGAACGACTCACACCAGGACGAGAGGCCCGAACGACTCAAACCACGAGGAGCCCGAACGGCTCGCACCAGGACGAGGGGCCCGAACGACTCACACCACGAGGAGCCCGAACGACTCACACCAGGAAGAGGGGCCCGAAGGACTCACACAAGGACGATGGGGCCGAACGACTCACCCCACGAGGGGCCCCAACGACTCCCACCAGTCGTCGTCGTCGTCGTCGTCGTCGTCGTCGTCGCCGCCGCCTTCGTCGTCGTCGTCGTCGACGTCGTCGTCGTCGTCGTCGTCGCGGTTGTGGTCGTCGTCGTCGTCGCGGTCGATATCGTCGTCGTCGTCGGGTGCGTCGTCGTTGTTAGGATCATCGCTGTGGTCGTCGTCTCCGCTAAATCCCTCTTGCCTCCCACCGCTTTCTCTCCCTCCTCCTCCGCCTCGTCCTTCTCCCGCTCCCACCACAAGGAGGATGTACAAGGAGGCGGGAGGAAGGAGGAACAGGGGAGATATGCGGGGGCAGGCGGAAAGACGCCTTAAAAACACGACTGTCGGCATGCTTCGCAAGACTTGCTGTTTTGAGATGGGCTGGTGGGGATACGCGAAGCGTGAAGAATTGAGAAGGAGTGGGAAGGAGAGGGGGAGGGAGGAGAAGGGGGAGAGAAATTAGGAAAAGGGCGAGGAGGAGGACGGGTAAGAAGAGGAGGGGATGAAAAAGAGAGGGGAAGAGGATAAGGAATAGGGCAAATCAGAATGAAAGGAGGGGAGGAGAGTAAGGGATGAGGGGATAGGAATAATATGAAGAAAAGGAGGAAATGAGGAGTAGGAGGGAGAGGTGAGGAAGAGGAGGAAAGAAAGGAGGAGGGTTGCAGAAGGACAAGGGGAGGAAGAGGATGAGAAACAAAGGAAGAGGGGAAGGATGGAGGACCAGTGTCAACCCAAGAACCATCAATGGTATTGCAGCAAAACCTCCCTCCAAATTCCCTCTTCACAGGTCCCTACATATACGAATTCGGCGGCTTATAAGAAGGCAACGGTCTGAGAATCCGCCATCGTGCCAAGATGCCAATCCCATGACGTCAACGCCACAGAACAGCGTGGCTGTTGCGTTCTGGCAACCCTAAGTCGCGCCAGCACACCATTCCTGGGATTTCGGCGCTCATGCCAGAAAACCACTCCTGGGACTTGAACCGCACGACCCTTGAAACTGCAGAAAACATGTAACGCGAATGCGCGCGGCGCCGAGGCGAGAGCCACATGTTGAAAAACAAACGCCGTGCATCCTTGAGACTGCTGCAAACTCGCAAAACGAATGCGCGCGGCGTTAACACGAAAGCCACAGTTGAAAAAAAAAAAAAAAAAAAAAAAAAAAACAGCCCTCAACCCCTGAAACTGTTGCAAACGTTGAAGACGAATGTGCGCGGCGCTAAAAGCGAGAGCCACACGTTGAAGACGACCCGCCCTCCATCCATGAAACTGCTGCAAACTTGCAAACTAATGCGCGCGGCGCTAATGCGAGAGCCATATTGTGAAAACTACCCGCCCTCCACCCTTGAAACTGCTGCAAAATTGGAAACGAATGTGTGCGGCGCCCAAACGGGAGCCAGGTTTTGAAAATGACCCGCCCTGTGAAACTGTTGCAAGTTCCAGTTCCAGGATTACAAACTGAGAAAATCCACAGCGAAACGCCCGACACGCCTGACCGAAACGCCTGAGGGTGCGACAGGGAGTCTACAAGGAAAAATAAAGGAGGAAAAATAAGGAACCGGGAGGAGGAGGAGGAGGAGGAGGAGGAGGAAGAGGAGGAGGAGGGGGAGGAGGGGGAGGAGGAAGCGGAGGAGGAGGAGGGAGGGGGGGGAGGAGGAGGGGTAGGAGGAAGCGGAGGAGGAGGAGGAGGGAGGGGGAGGAGGAGGAGGAGTGGGAGGGGGATGGAGACACGCTGGCGGCGCGGCGGCGCCTGCAGGAACGCTGCGAGCTCGTCGCGGTCCGCCTCGGCCACGTCGAACTTGGCACTCGACAGGAGCCTATCGGGCCAGCGGGCGGCGAGAGGCGGGGCGAGGCATAGACGGAATAAGTGTACAAGTATAATGATGATGATGATGATGATAATGATGATGATGACGATAATGCTGATGATGATGAAAATACTAATCACCATGATGATGATGATGCTGATGCTGATAGTGATAATGCCGATGGTGATGATGGCGATCAGGCTGATGCTGCTGATGACGATTATGAAGAAGAATGTGGGTCCGGTCTCGGAAATGATACGGTGACCAAAAGCAAGCTTGTGCGCAAGGAGATGATTCAGCCCCTATCGGGAAAAGGCATGCCCGACTTGGGGAGACCACGAGCGAAACAAGACAACAGTTCCCTCCCCTTTGCTGGGGGACCACTTGGCCATTTCACGCTGTCGAGACTTACGTTCGACTGAGAGCTCCCTTGCACTCTCAACTGATTAAACCCTGCAAATGCGATAATACAACAAATCCCTCATCACTGAAAACAAATGCGAATCATGCACCACAAAGAACACAGGATGGCCGGGTGCCACCTGCCACTCCTGGGTCCTGGCGATGGTGAGCGCTGGCTCGGGCAACAAACCTCGCGACTCACCGGCTGGTTCCCAGGCGCGGTCGGCCTGGGCAAAAAAACGAAAGAGTTGAAGAGGCCCCCGGCCAAAACTTACTCAGCTGGCCCTCCTTTGGCAAGGAACGACGGCGACGCGCACACTGAAAACTGAAAAACGCGCGACCACGCCATGACGAGCTGCACAGAGGCTCACATTGCGAACACTTCTGGCAGATATTCCCGACCTCTTACGGGCAGCCTCTCAAAGACTCAAGGCGCGAGAGATCGGGTTCACGCTTGAGCACTTCCTGCTGGATGGCCAACGACCTCAAAATGGTTTCCTGCTACAACGCATCAGCTTGGGCCACTGAGGTCGCAACCTCGGTGGGCACCTGGCCCCTAGAGGCCGCTTCACAGCAGCTCGACTCGGAAAGATCTCCACGCTTGACGCTTGCATGGAGTCCGCCTGAGCCTGGGCCAACTTAGATCTCGCCCGCCGAAGGTCAACCATGCCCGAGCGGCGGGCCTCAAGCCCATCCCGAACCAGCGCCCAGATGTCCAGCATCGCACTCCTGCTCCCAATGATACGCTGCGGGGGCGCGCAGAAACATGCAACGGGCAAGTCGCCACGGAGAATCGGCACGCTGCCCTCTGCCATGGCCAACGCGGCCAAGAAGGCAAGCAGCTCGGATCTCCGAGATCTCTGGCCGGGCGCGGGCAGCGCACCGCACGTACCCCCAGCGGCCTGAGTCTCACCCGCGCAGTGCACCACGACACCCCACCCGCACCTCCATCGCCTCCAACTCCCAGTGCTTCCCCCCGGTCCATCTGCGCCCCAGACTCCCCATTGGACCACGGCGGCGCACTTGAAAACCCCGAATGACCACGATGGAAACCACCGCAACCGCAAGTTCACAAAAAGATTCCAGGACGGGCGCAATCCCAAATTTACATGGCAGCGTTTCGCACTTGCACTCACGGTTCACTCTGCACTGCGCGCAGCGCATGCAATTACACGCGCCTTCGCCTTGCAAACATCACCCCAGGAACCATCTTAATAACACCAAAGGTGACCTGTGGGACCTGCGGGACCTGTGGAACCTGCCGGAATTGGGAGAAATGTTGGGAGCGTGAGCCCTGTGGAACTTGTGGGAGCTGTGCGGGCTGCGGTAGCTGTGGGACCTGAGGGACCTGCGAGACCTGTGGGACCCTTGGGACCTGTGGGACGCGTGGGCCTGGTGGGACCTGTGGGGCCTTCGAAATTGCAAAACTTGTCGTCCCTGCGAGACCTGTGGGACCTGTGGGACCTGCGGGGCTTGCGCCACCTGCGACACCTGCCTGACCTGTCGGACCTGTAGGACCTGAGGGACTCGTAGGACCTGTGGGACCTGCAGGACCTGCGATACCAGTGGGACCTGTGGCGCCTGTGGCACCTGTAGGCCCCGTGGGACCTGCGGAACTTGCGGGGCCTGCGGGACCGGCGCGACATGTGGGACCTGTGGGACCTGTGGGACCGGAGGGGCTGGGTGGACCTGTGGGGCCTGTGGGACCTGTAGGGCCTGAGGGGCCTGTGGGGCATGCGTCGCCTGTGGGACGTGTGGGACATGCGGGACCTGCGCGACCTGCGAAACCTGTGGGACCTGCGGGTCCTGCGGAACCTGCGGGACCTGCGGACCCCGTGGCCCTTGTAGGACCTGTAAGCCCTATCGGGCCTGTGGGACCTGTGGGGCCTTCGGGGCATGTGGGACCTGGGGGGACTGGGACTTGCAGGGCCTGCGGGACTTGCCAGACCTACGAGGCCTGCGGGGTTTGCGGGACTTGTAGGACCTGTGGGACATGTGGGGCATGTGGGACTTGTGGGACATGTGGGATATGCTGGGCCTGCGGGATTTGTGGGACCTGCGCGACCTGCGGGACTTGTGGGACTCGTGGGACCTGTGCTGGCGGCGGGACCTGTCGGACCTGCGGGACCTGTGGGACCCGGGGGGCCTGTGGGACCTGTGGGACCTGAGGGACCTGGGAGACCTGCGGAACCTGTGGGACCTGTGAGAGCTGCGGGACCTGCGGGACATGTGCGACCGGTGGACCTGCGAGAACCTGTGAAACCTGTGGGGTCATTCATACCTGTGGGACCTGTGGCACCTGCGGACCTGCGGGACCTGCGGGTCCTGTGGGACCTGTTGGACCTATGGGTCCTCTGGGACCTACGGGACCTGTGGGAATTGCGGGACATGCGGGACCTGCGAGACCTTTAAAACCTGTAAGACCCGTGGGGCCTGCGGAACCTGTGGGACGTGCGGGACCTGCATGTGGGACCTGTGGGACCTGCGGGGCCTGCGGGGCCTATGGAGTATGCGGGACTGGCGGGTCCTGCGCGACCTGCGAGACCTGTGGGACCTACGGACCCTGTGGATCCTGTGGGGCCTGCGGGACCTGTGGGGCTTGTGAGACCTGTAGGACCTGTGGGACCTGTGGGACCAAGTGGGACCTGCGGGACCTGCGGGGCCTGCGGGGCCTGCGGGACCTGCGAGACCTGCGCGACACGCAGGACCTGCGGAACCTGTGGGACCTATGGGACATGTGAAACATGTGGGACCTGTGGGGCCTGTGGGACCTGTGGGGCCCGCGAGGCCTGTGGGACCCTTGGGACCTGTGGGACGTGTGGGACCTGTAGGACCTGCGAGACCTGTGGGACCTTTGGCACCTTCTTTGCGACTTGTGGGTCCTGTGGGACCTGTAAGACCTGTAGGACCTGTGGGACCTGTGGGACCTGCGGGACCTGTGACACCTGCAAGACCTTGGGACCGGTGGGATCTGTTGGGCCTGAGGGACCTGTGGGACCTGTGGGACCTGCGGGACCTGCGGGACCTGTGGCACCTGTGGCACCTGTGCGGCCTGTGGGACCTGCGGGACCTGCGGGACCTGCGGGACCGGCGAGACCTTCGAGACCTGCGGGACCCGTGGGACCTATGGGACGTGTGGGACATCTGGGACACGTGGGACCTGTGGAACCTGTGGGACCTGTGACCGCCGAGGACCCAAGTAAGGCCCTGAATTCTGGGACCGCCAGGTACCGTAAGGACCTTACTTGGGACCCCGGGAATTCCTTATTAAATTTGGTGGATCGACAGATGTCTCGCACTTTGGGACCATCGAGGCCCCCCGGGGGGCATTTATTAAGGAACCAGAAGTTTCCTTAGGTCCACCATGTTTTCTTGGAGCGGAAAGACCCAAAAATCAAACGTCCCGGCGTGGCCGTCGGAGGCCCCCAACCAGCCACCCAGCTTGGAAACGCGCGGCAAATGTTTCGCCGAGGCTGAACGCGACTCTGCTGCCGTCGCCACCGTAGCTGCACTGCATCCGGTGATCCACTGGCCTCAGGGCCCCGAAGAGTAAGCCTCCTAGCGGTGTCCTGACGACCTCCTGGAATCTGGGGGGAGACCGCCGGGGGACCTCCCCTGGTCCTCTTGGGGGCCTCCCGCAAACTTCCAGAAGGGGGCTGGGAGGTCTCCCAGAAGTTTTTTCTGGTCCTTGCAAGCCTGCTGGGAATCCTCCCGGAGGACCAGGGTCCGGGAGCCTCCCCCGGACCTCGAAATCTGGCAGGGCTCCCTCCAAGGGGAAACTTCCGGGGAGACCAGGGGAGGCCCCCTGGAAACCTCCCCTGGTCCTCCCGGGGCGCTGGGGGGAAACTTGGTGGAGGACCAGGTGAGGTCTCCTGGAAGCTTCCCCTGGCCCTCCCGAAGGCCTCCCACAGGAGACCTCCCCCCTGCGGGAACTCTCATCGGAGGCGCCCAGGTGAACCAGGGGAAGCCTCCCAGAGACCTCCCCTGGTCGTCCCGGAAGCCTGGGGGAGGCCTCGCCTGGTGCTCCCAGGGGCCGTGGGAAGCCTCTCGCCACACCTTGTGGAAACCAAGGGAAGCCTCCGGAAGGCCTCCCCAAGCCCTCGGGGGGATCAGGGGGAGGTCTCCAGGAGAACCAGAGGAAGTCTGGTGGAGGCCCCCTCCACCTCGCCGGAGGAGGGCCCGCTGGGAGGTCTGGTCGACGTGGAAGGGGGGCATCCCACCAGACCTGTTGGAGGTGGAAGGGAGGTCTGGTACCAGACCTAGTGGGGTTGGGGGTAACTGAAGACCCAACCCAGGCAAAGCAAGAAAACCAGCATGGAGGCGAACGCGGCCCAAGACGGCACCAAGATACCCCCCAGGCAACTCACGACGGCCCAAAAGGGCCCCTAATGTCCCAGGTAGCCCCATATACGACTCAAGAGTGTCCCAGGAGGCCCCCACGACAACCCGACAATAACCAATGACATACCACATGTTGTCCACGTGTGCCACGTGAGAACCCCAGGAGACGCAATAATGAGACAAGGAGAACGAAATGGAAGAAGGGAGGGTGACAACATGGGGGACGTGGGAAGAGGGAGGGCGACGACGTAGACGAAGGAGTGCGC